GTCGAACATTTTGGTGGAAAATTCTTTTTCACCCTATAATTGAGAATTCTAAGTAAAATTGAAACAAATTCTCCTTTGAAACGAACAAATTAATGAATCATACAAACCTCAAAAAATTTGTAAATCGATTTGATTGGTATGAAGAGTAGAAAACAACTAAATCCGAATGTGAGTACAATAGATAAGAGAAAAAGCCCTTAAATAAAAAATAGAATCAGAAAGATATTTTAATTTATGTTAAATATACAATTAGAAAATATTGATCGTCGATAAGGTGCACCACGTGAAAATACAACCGATTCCCAAATATATTGAAATGTTGATTGAAGAAAAACGGCTGTATTGATATGTGATATGTAGATTTTTTCTTCATTAAATTCGAATGGTTCGTACCTATAGAAAATTTGATTTTTTTGAAAACATCAAGAAAGTATTTAAGTTCTTTACCATGGTTGTTTTTTAACATATTCAAAAGTAAATGCTTGAAAAGCAGCACAAATACTTAAATGACCAAGAAGTGACACAAGTGGTCGCCTTATATGTTCGAAGACAAAAATTATAGTCAAATTTTACATAGAAAAATAATTTTTACCAGGAAATTAATTTTGTTCGAGGTGCTTTTGGATCCAAATAAGGATAGGCAGTTGTTCGACTAACTAAACAAAGTGAAGAAATAATAAATAAATTTTTTGATCTTTGTTTTTATTTTATTATCACTTACAGAGTAATACTAATAATGTAATAAGACCCAAATCAATAAATAGAAATTCATAATCGGTTAAATTATTTCCAATCTTGTTTATAAATAAATCAAACTATATTTATTTCATTATTTTTCTTAGTAATATATTACCGTATATAGCATAATAACTGTCAAGAATTGTGTTAGACTATAAGCCACCATATATTTAACAACACCAAACGAAGTGACTAAAGCTACGAAATTTAATGATGAATATCAGAAAATTAATAACAACGATAAACTTTTACCTGCACGTCCTTCTCTAAAAAAAAAATAGAAACAAAAACAATGTGTTATGATCAATCTTTAAGCTATGAAACATATGCACTATTTTTCCTTTATGAAATAAAATCTATTTTTATCAAAGAAAAAAGTCGAAGTTTTAAAAATACTTCATGATACTCCAAACAATTAATGAATTTTATATTGAAATACGACATTATAATAAAATCAACTGTCCTGATTTTATAAAAAAAACATTCCGTAATATTTTAATTTTAGATTTTTTTTGTTTTTCTGAATTAAAATCTATCCAACAGATGCAAAATGGCTTACCGAATAATGGTAGGCACACATTCGATAGTGGGGGTTCTTGATGTAAATGGACTAGCTACAGAGGCATCAGCAGTTGACAACGAAATCCCAGCATGAGCTGCTTTTAATGCTCCTACATCATTAGCACCATCACCACACATTGACACATAATACCTAGAAATATGATAATATGATGATAAAATCATTAGTGTAAAAAATATCTTTTAATGATTATTTGTTGAAAAAACGTTATCTATGATTACTAACGAATCCTGTCAAAACAGCCAATAGGAAAATTCAAATCAAAAGAATTAATAGATTTGTATACAAATGATTGATAGTGTAGTGAGTCTGATTTAATCGATAGAACGGAAGTTTCTTTGTGTTCACATTGACACGCAATGACAGAAAAATAAAATAAAATATGGCAATATAAGATAATCGATACAACGTGCAATGAATATAATGAAGGAGACTACATCAATTAGAAATAAATTTACTTGTAATTATTGTTCAAAAAAAAAACGAATAAATCAGCATCTTGTATTGAATAGAATATTTCAATCTTTCTCGTTTGCAGATCTATTCTATGCATATAATTATTTCTTTGTTATATAATTCGAACATCTATCTAAGTTCATAGTTTTTTCTTAGTTCAAAGTTTTTTATATCATATGAAATAAATCAAATTAATGACGGAAAATGTGTGTTTAAATTAAATTTAGGAAAGCTTTCGTAACTTCGATTTGTATAGATAAAGCTTCATTCATATTTTATATTAAATATATAGATTAAGACATAGTATTTTTAGAATTATATCTATATAAAGTATATGTTCAACAGTTTTCTTTAGCGCAGTTACTATTCAGTTTCATATTTCACTAAATGAATGTTTCATTGTTCTAGATTTATTAGTTTTGAATATTCCATTCGATCATTATGTGTACAAAAACAAACCAAGAATTTTTATATATACTCATGACTTCATATATCTAATTGTCGATTCCATATATACCGGAAGCTTACGCCTTATAGAAGACTTTCACCCATTCACAAAATAACAGTCATTTACTTTGACAAGTATTTATACATGAAGTTGCTGTCACTCATATTTATATTTCTCACATATTTAATCTTTTGTTTCCAAATAAAGCTCATAGAAAGTTGTTGTTTATCCTTTTTCATAGTATTCATAATATGTCATTTGATATTTATATATATACATATATAGATAGATATACATTTAAGAGTATCAAAAATAAGTGGATATCAAGACCTGCATATCATACTTATTTTTCTTTCGGAGTAATATAATATTTTCTTTTAATTAAGATTAAGATATTTATTATCCACAAGTATATGATAGTGCTGTCTAATTAGGAAGAAAAAAAAAACGAATACATTAGAAAAAAGACACAAATGCATTAATAAGAATAATTGAGTTTATTCTAGTCTCTCATTTATTACAGAAATAATATTATTGCTTCGTAACAGCTATAGATGTAGGATAGTCTACTTTCTAACAAATATTTTTCTTTCTTTGATATAGACATACATTCCAATCCTTCATTATATTTCATACGAAGAATTGTCAAATGAAGATTACATAATTAAATCAAATCATTATCATTTTATAAAGATTTGATAAGATTTAAATGACTAAAAAGAATTTTTTTTGTTTTTATAAATACTAAATAAAAAACAAGTGTTTTTGACATATGATTCAGAACTTTATGTAACACAATTATGAGTACGTCATCATATTGAATGATCATCTAAGTAGTTTAACTGTAAATTCACAACATAAAAATGACAGATATCTTTTTATATATAATAATGATTTGAGAAATATGACTTGTTTTTAAAAGATATTCTACAAGCAAATATGTGTTTAAAAAACAGTTATTTGATTCCACTATCACATTTTTGTTTTTTTTTTTGTTTCTATTTGTTTAGGTTCAATTTTTTTGTGTCAATACAATGTCGAATACTAGAAATTTATCATCCATCATCCATCATTTTATTCTTGTAAGCTTTCGCTCTTATTTGTTTTTCTTGTCAAGTATTTGTCACTAAAGTGACAATGATAACACTTATAGAAAGAAAAAAAACAGAATTTACAAAGTAATAATAAATGCTACTTGGAAAGAAACTAATTTAAATGAAGTAAAATTTCTACTTATGAAGATGTTGCGAGAGTACAACAACCTTTTGATTATGAAGACTGCCAAAGTCGATGATGCCTATTTTTTCCTGTTAAAAAGATATTTCTAATAACAAGAGCATCTTTTAATTATAAATATAAAGATTCTTTTATCATCTCTTATGTTTTCATTATCTTTTTAATTTAAACACATGAACATTCATTCTCTTTTTATGTTATAAACTAAAATAAATCTCATCATTTACATTAATATATAATAACATCATAATTGAAATATTTTTACAAATAGAATAATCAAATAAGTTATAAAATTTCAGTTACAATGAAAGTATAAGTTACAAAAGATCTTCGAAAGCTGTACGATATAGATTTTTTCTTCAATATTGTCTTGTAAAAATCTCAAGAGATTTTTCTGTATAATAAAATTTAAAAAACATCATAAAATCAATAATTAACTCATTCAATTAAGAAACTAATATTTTCATTGTTTTACACTAATTACTTATTATCTGTTATAAATTACTTATCAAACAATACATTGTTTGTTGAAACAATATGTTAACAGAAAAAACAATGAATATAAAAATTCTTTATTAGATGTTTATATGATGAAAAAAAACAAATCTAGAAAAATTTTCTTTGACATTGTATTAGTAATAATAGGATGAAAATATACTGAATACAATATAGACGCAATTCTCGACTCTCGAGCGAGCGAATAGAGTAAGTGAAAGGCGATGAAGGAGAAAAAAAACAGCGGCAAGAAACGAGAAGTTCCTCGTCTCTGTTATTATCAGTCGTCAAAATGAAGAAGAAAAAATAAGACAAGGAGGAGAAGATGAGATGATGTGTGTAGGCGCCGTCTTCAATCAATGTTCGACCGAACATGTACTATGAAATCTTTATCATCATCATCATCATCATCGTCATAACTTTTGCTCGAAAGGCAGTTGATAACATTTGTTTATTATATTTTCTTTTCTCTATGAAAACAAAAAAATCTATCGAAATATTTGAATCTCTCTATAATTTAAATTGTTCAAGTGTATACTTATCATGTTTTTATTTTTTTTAATTATATTAAGGGAACTTCTAATTCGTTAACAACTGCTATTTGGGTAATTAACGAACGAAATTCAACGTCAGTAAATATAGATGTTTATCAACCAATTGTTCAAATAATGTGGTATCGTTTCCTGTTAATCATTAGTAAGTATAGTTTATTAATATTATTATTATATTTTTGTTCTCAATAATATATAAAATATTGAAAGAAACAAAGAAAAAATTCTTCCGGAAAGATGATGTTTATGTTGTAGTTTAATCGGGTTAACAAGCGATAGACTGACATAATTGTATCTCAAGCATACTTTATAAAAATACGGAAATACATGTACTTAAACACGGCAAAAAAATGAGAAAAAACGATGTCATTATCAAGTAGATTTGCTTTACTTTTTTTCTATTCTAGTTATCTTTGTGACTGCCGCTGGCAATATTTTAGTTTGTTTGGCTATAGCACGAGAACGAAAGTTACAAAATACAACTAATTATTTTCTTATGTCATTAGCCATTGCAGATTGTCTTGTTGCTATACTTGTCATGCCGATGGGAATGATTGCAGAAGTATTAGGTAAATTTTTACACAAATATTCAAACCATCAACAGAAATTTTCCATATGGTATTTATATATTCTCTAGGCCATTTTCCATTGCCACATTATGCCTGTATTATTTTCGCTACAATGGATGTATTATGTTGTACATCATCTATATGGCACATGAGTACAATGTCAATGGATCGTTATTTTACAATTCGTTTTCCCTTTCGCTATGGCAGAAATAAAACTCGTCGTATTATGTTACTTAAAATTATTGCCGTTTGGGCAATAAGCACAGCTGTATCATCTCCAATATTTGTTTTAGGTCTTGTTGATAAAAAGAATGTTTTATCAAATGGTGTATGTGCACCTAATAATGAATCATTTAAATTATATGGTTCAGTTTTTGCTTTTTATATTCCATTTATAATAATGATAACAACATATGCATTAACAATGCGTTCTTTAAGAAATGTTTTAGTTAATAAAAGAAAATTTAATCGTGAAAGACGTCGAAAACAAACATTTCAACCATTAGCACAAATTGTTAATCAATATGCTGCAATAGCACAAAGTATTCGACGTACAGCATCAATAAACAACTCAGCAACAGTATCAACAACAAATACCAATAATAATAATAATAATAATAATGATAATAATAACAATAATAATAATATCTCTCATTTAAATAATACATCTTATTCATTACTAACAACTACAACACCACGAGATTCACGTACACAAAGTCTTCGATCAAGTAATTCAGATTTAAATTTAAAACAAGTTTCAAATAATATTCAATATGGTTCAATAAATATGCCAAATAGAACAAATATAAATAATGAACTTATTCATAATAATAATCAACATTTATCTATTAATTATACTAAGCCAAGTGGAAGTAAAAAAAGACATTATTATCATTATCAACAACAACAACAACCATTGACAGGGAACACAGGAATAAATCGTATAAAAAATGATCATGATATGAGTACTGTTTTTGAAATAGCTGAATATTCAAAATCAACATTAAACTCACATGATGTTACACCAAAAACAAGCAACTGTACATGTCAAAGATTAAATGTTACAAACGAAAAGAAGCAACAACGACTGTTAAATGCAATTGACAGTATAAAACAACAACAAATGCCAAATACAACAACGATAACATCAACTATCAGCACAATATCACCAAATGAAGTAGATATTTGTTCGATAACAGATATTGATAGTGGAAGTAAGTTTTATACATAGTTTCATTCAGAATTATGTTGATTAATTAATATCATATTAGAAAAAAAGAACAAAAAAAAGTTAAGTATGTGGAAAGACTAATTAAAAAACAAATGATAAAATATTGAGCATTCGAATAAGATGAAATATTATACAAATAGATACATAGATTCTATTGAATGGATTTTGTTTGAGAAAGATATTCTCTAGTTGAAATAAAATAAATTATTCTTATTAACAGTTTTATTCTTTTGTCTGGATCATAAAAAATGTGCCGATAATAAAATTTATAAACATCAATTATTCATTGTCATACGAGTAAATATTAAGCTATTTATTAAAAAATATTCTTCATTTATCATTTAAATGATAAACCAAAAAAATTCCTATCAGATAGATTTTCATCATTGTTTTTTTTTCACGATTTCTAATCAAAATTTAAAAAAAAAAACAATTCAGAGGTTTTTACAGAAGAAGATTACAACATTCTCGTCTAATAAATCTTAACAACGTTTTTACTTAAGAAGAAAATTCAAAACGTTATCTATGATGATTTTTTAAAAAAGCTTTTAGTTAGATTAGATCTTTCTCTCTAAGCAATATCTCCTAAGTAATTATATTGGTAATTAAAAAGAGTAAAAATATTTTCTATTCGTTTTAGCTGAAACCAATGATTTAAATTCCATTGAAATAGTTCCTTCAACAACATCTATTCATTCGACTTCACTTAATTCTACTGACTTCATGTCTTTAATAATTCCATGGCAATATTGTTTTACTCTAATTCAATATATTCTACAATATTATCTATTTATTTTTCCTTATCGATCACGTCCTTTAGCAATTAAATATAAATTTAATGAAAATGAATTTAATAAAAGATCTTCTATATTATTACATCAATCAACATCAACATCATCAATAAATGCAATAGTAAGAAAAAATTCTCAATCGGTGTCAACACAAACAAATTCTCTTCTACCATTAGATTTATCTAATACTCATGGAATTAATAACAGTGAAACTCATTTATATAGTCCTACTAAACGACATCAATTTTCATTTAATAGAACGATATTACCTTCATCATCTTTATTTACAAAACTTTTTCGTCAATCATCAACAATATTATTAGGTTCACGTGTAAATTCAACTAAATCATCAATATCATTGAATCAACACTTACCTCTAGCATCATCATCATCTCTAATACGTCAACAATCTCCACATCATCATCGTTCATCTAGTGTGTTTCGTCCAATTGAACATGAAATGAATTATATTTTAGAGAATGATCATCGTCCTCGTGCAGCATCATCTTCTGTTCTATTACATACAACATACCATCGAAGAAACCATGCATCTTTACGTGAACCTAGATCATTAAAACGTCGACAACAATATCAATCTAGTTCAGGTTATTTTTTAACATATTCAAATCGATACACTTTACGACGACAACAACAACAACCATTTACTTCATCAACAAATACAAATTCATCTGATTCATTATCAGTTTTTCAACGAATAAATTCAAAATATTTTTCAACAATGTCAAATCATTCACAACAACATCAAACTCAATCACAACGTTTACGTGATGAACATATTGTTGCAGCTAATGAACGAAAAGCTTTAAAAGTTTTATTAATTATATTTTGTGTATTTGTAACATTATGGACACCGTTTTTTATTTGTACATTTATATCGGCTATATGTGAACAATGTCGTCAACGTATATCATCAACTGTTTGGTTTTCAATAACATGGCTTGGCTATAGTTCATCAATGGCTAATCCATTTATTTATACAATATTTAGTGATGCATTTCGACGTGCATTTACAAATATTATTTTTTGTCGACCCAGTGATTCATTATTTCCAAAACAATTTTCAGCTAAACTATCATATCAAAAGAGTGCTGTTCCTCATCAACCAATTCATCAACAATTATCATATAGAAGAAATCCAAATCGTGAATTTTCAAGAACATCAACACAAATATCATTACACCCTCAAACATCAAATGCTGGAAGTGATGCAACAATATATATTAATCGATGTGCATCAGAATCATTTCGGTAATTGAATAAAGGAAAAAAAAAAGAAATCTAGTTCATCTTTCTTTCTTTATCATAACATACCCGAGTTCTTCTAGTGTTTCAATTAACTGTTGTTTTTGTTCGGGTAACATTCGTGCAAAAACTGTACCGCGTACACATAACTAAATTTAATAATATCAAAAATAAAAGTGAAATATTATTTTTCAAAAAATCCAAAAAGAAAGATTTTACTCGATATAATAATTCTGGATGTTCATCACGAACAATTTGAAATGATTTACCAGATATAGCAAAATGGTATGGTGAACGACGATCAAGTTCAATCAATCGATGAGACTAAAATTATTATGTTAAAAATGAGTTAGCATTGTTTTTTTGAATTTTCAATATTAAAATTTAACTTTTTAAAATCTTTAAAAACGTCTTTTGACGAAAAAATAATTAAAAATTTTTAAATGTCTATATACAATATGACAAATTTAATATTTTGTCTATTTATACATGATTTTCTTTTCGAATCAACCAAATTGAATAAAACAAGAGAAAGATTTTGTTTTAATAAAATTCTTTTGTGTTTTTTTTAGAAGTAATAGTTTTTAATTATGAAAAATGGTTATTATTTCTTCCGTTCTCAATTAGAAGTATAGAGAAAATGACATGAGAAAATATTTGTTAATATGTTTATTAAACAGTATTAATTTCTTTTGTCATATAAAGTTTATGTTTTATCATCAAAAGGATTAAATAGAATGTTATTATTTAATGAGACAAAAAACTGCTCCATATGTGTTCTCTAAAGATATTTATTACTTATTCTCAAATGAATTTTGAAAAACAAGAAGAAAAGAAGACATGTAAAATAAATTAAAACCTATTTCGACAATAGAAGATTCTCTCATAATAAAAGATTCTCCTTGGAAGAACAACCCGTCAGACGCGATGCAATACGTTCCTTGATTAATTAATTTCTTGCAGAATTGGCACTTTAATTTGTATGTTTACATTAAAATATGTCTAGTTTTTAGTAGAGATCCATCAATTCCTAGAATACGATGTTAAAGATGACATCTGTTATGCTTATTAAGAATGTACTTCCTATGGATTGTTTATATCAACCATAATCAATTTTTTTTCTCTATTCGAAGCTGTAGTCGAGATACATGAAATGGAAACAAACGTTTCGGAATTTATCAGAAAATCTCATTTTTAGGTTTTGTTTTAAATTGAATATAGTTGGTATGAAGAATTGCTCGGAGTCAAATTATTTTCAATATTAGGCATGTATTTTTGTAAACAGAGATAAACTAATTTCTACCAGGTCCTTGAATTTCCAATCAGAGTTTAGAATATTTTCAGTATGAGGGATAACCGGACTTCAAGTAATTGATCCTATCAATTGTGTTCAGTCTTGAACGATCTTTCAGACTCTATTCTTAGATTTTGTCTAATGAAAAACACTAATCTCAAACTCAGTTGGCATTGGTCAAAAACAACTGAAAAATGAGACTTTTAATATTATTTCCAAGTGTATAAAGTTTTCGCAGAATCTTGTAATAAGTCTCATTCATGGTGTACCGACAGTTGAGCCCCCGACAGATGAGCCTACCGACAGTTGAGCTCCCGACAAATGAGCTCCCGACATTTGAGCCTCACAAAATTGAAATTTCATCGATTAAATATAGAACACACGAAATTATTATTGAATCGCTTAATTCACTTGAAAATAGCGCACGAAAACATGAGACATCTTTCAATGGTACTGATGGCTCGTCGATATATTTTTCGTGGCTAAGTCAATCATCTGTACAGAAATGAACAAGTTTTTCGAACAATATTTCTGTGACTCATAAAGGTTTTATCATTCTTGGTATATTTTTCTATTATCATTAACAATGTCAATCGTGAAATCTTCAAAAAACAAGGATCAACTTTTACTTAGTGGTTATCGTTATCGTCGTGCAAATAAATCTCAAATTATTTGGCGTTGTTGTCGAAATGACTGTGCTGGTCGTGTACGTTTTGATGGAACAGATTATATTAAAGTTACGGATCATCTTCATGCACCAAATCCTGAAGAAACAATATCAGTGGAATTCAAATCAAATATCAGTTCTGGTGCAACAATATCGCATGATCCACCACGACGTATTATTCATCAGGCTTTATTAAATTTTTTTTAATATGAGGCTCAAGTGTCGGGAGCTCATTTGTCGGGAGCTCAACTGTCGGTAGGCTCAACTGTCGAGGGCTCATTTGTCGGGGCTCAACTGTCGGGAGCTCAACTGTCGGGTCACGCTCATTCATTTTCATAATTTTTAATGAAAAGGGTTTCTCAGAAAATCAAATCAAATTTTAGAATGCTAACCTCAATCTTTTAAAACTTTCAGCTCAAAACCCTAAAAACTAGGCATATCCTGATATAAATGTACTAATTAAAATTTCAATTTTTTGAATGATTAATGAATTAATGAGAATACAGTCTTTTATTAGGTACAATACGTGGTTCGATCTAAACAATCTTCTATCACAAGAAGAGGGTTACAACTTCAGATAGAACAAAAAAATTTGATCGTGATTGATATGAACAGTTCACACGTAATACATTCTTAACAAAGAAAAAAATGTTATTTTTGATATTAAGGTTTAGAAATTGGTGTATCCTTAGTTCTGAGCTAAAGCAATCTTAAATCATTAATTTTAACGTTATATCTAGGTTTTTAAAACTCTGAAAATATTTTAATAATCTTTAAATTCATCTTGATTTCTTTAAAGAAATTCTTTTAACTTAAAATTAAGAAGAAAATCATAAGACACAATAGAAAATCTTCTTCAAAATTTTGTACTTTTACATATTAAATAAGACTCAGGAACTTCTATTTCGAGAACAGAATTCAGTGCAATTCTATAAATATCTTTTATTTTAAATAAACCTTTTTTTCTAATATCCACTCAAAAAATGCATAAAATAATAATATATACATACACTAAGATCGTAACGAACTTCTTTGACTCTTCTATTATAAACTTGTGAATAAGAAAATATTGGTGGACTATTTGGTTCACTTGCTTCAACAACAATTATTTTAGCATCATCAGGAATCATGTCACAATCACGAGCAACACTCAATGCTGTTAACATATTATCACCTGTATTAAAACAATTTAATAAAGATGAATATATATATATATTAGAAAGACAATAACAAATATACCAGTACACATTATTGTTCGAATATTAGCATTAGAAAGAATTTTTAGAACTCCTAAATTAATTCCAAAAACAAAATGAATTATTATTTATTTATTTATTTTATGTACCTTCTGTTTGTGGTTTGAGACGATTTTCCATAACCACAAGACCAATAAAGATAAGATCATGTTCAATCTTTTCTCTATTTTTATTTAAATCAATAAATCATATAGTACACTTTTATTATTATTATTATTATTATTATTATACAATAGCCATTCCATATAAGTCACGACCTATCACCATTGCAGGATGCTCAATCAGGTTCTTCGGTTTGTACGAAATCTCTTCCATCTTGTAGAACATACTGTTTTAGGTAGATAATCAAATTTTCAATCTTATTGGAGAGTGCTTTATCAGGATATTAAGGTCGATTTCGAATGATTTTTCATTAGGATAGAATGAAAATAGAAAAATTATCTTTTAAATAGATTTTTTTCCTAAGATACTGATATGAAATCACTCCAACTTTCTTTTTAAAATACTAAAAAACTAAGAACTATTTTGACAGTACAAGCAAAAGTTTGGTATGTCTGCTGATTGAGCAGAACAGGTCGTGGCGCATGTGGAGTGGCTTATTCGTAACTAACCGTTCAATTCTTTGGATTTTGACATAACTTAATTCTAATGGTTTATAAGCAAGTGCTAATACTCGATAACCTTGTTTAGCATATGATGAAAGTATTTCATTAAAATTTTTTGGAACTATTAAAATACAAATATATATATATATATATATATTTAAATATAAATGACATTTAATATAAATATATATATTGTATCTTACTTGTTTCAGGTCTAGAAAGTTCAGCTATTTTTTCTGGTGAACCTTTTGTTAATAAATCAAATGAATCTTTTGCAAGAATTCGAACAATAACGCTTGTTCGTTGAAGTGATGAACTAAATGGTAATTGTCGAACAATACCAATTTCGAATGGAATATGCTATTGACAAAAAAAAAATCAATCAAAAGTAAAGAATTATGATTAATAATGTTAACTTACTCCAGCAATAAGTGAACTAACAGAACCTGAAAATCTACCTAATGGTGATACTGTCTGTTGAGGTGTATTTATTGGTCGTACAATTGTTGGAAAAAGCATATCAAAATTAGATTGTTCACTAGCAGCTGGTTCATATAATTCATATTGTGTAAACGCAAGCATTTTAAGATCAAGTGGATCACCAGCAAGTTCACCATTTATTCTTGTTAATGTATGACATGCTAAAATTATTTTAATTGAAATTTTCTTATGATTTATTACATCATGTTTTTTTTTTAATTATTACCTGCCATACAAACAATAATCATACTATGAGCTTCATCTTCACGCCAATTTAAATCTGTTACTTCAGTTATTTCCGAACCAAATTCAATTTGTTGCAAATCATTTGTTGTATCATATGAATGAAGAATTGGTAAGACACATTGAAGATCAAGTCCATCTTCAGTCAATGTTCCTGTCTGATTAAATATAAAACATATATTTCAATATAGAAAAAGAAAAAAACTATTTTTGTTTTTGTTTATAAAATGAACAACGAACCTTATCAAAGACAACAGTATTAATTGAACCACATATATTAATAGAACGAGGACTAATACAAAAAATATTATCTTTTTTTAAACGATTTTGTGCATAAACAAGACCAGCAGATAGAGCAGCAGGAAGTGCAGGTGGTACAGCAATTGTAATAACATCAATAGTACGTTTAAAAATGGTAGAAGCACGTTCATGACGCATTATCTAATTAAAATAAATTAAAATATT